CCCCAACTGCTCATTAAAGGAAACACACTCCTCCTTCCTGTGGATGCTGCGTTTTTTGTACGTGTCAGGCCGTGACCCAGAGCCTTGCTGGTGCTTAATAACAACAGAGATTTCACCAGAAATGTTGGCCTCGAGCACAGAAATGAGGGCTGGAGGTCACAGGAGGTTCAGTGCTGCCCTTCCCAGCAGAGCTGTGCTGGGTGCAGTGTGAGCACAGCCAGAGGGGCTGGGGGGCTCTTCCTCCTGCCCCACTGCTGCTCTCTCCATCAGCTCAGTGGGGTCCAGGGAGGTGCAGAACAACCCTGCAGGGCAGGACAGAGGGACAAAACCTCCAGCAGAAGCTCATGCTTTGTGTGATGTGGGAAACTGAGGTGCTGCAGGAGCAGGCAGGTGAGCCCCATGCTCACGGAGTCAGAGCAGGGCAATCTTCACACACTGGAAGAAGCAGAGCATGAAATGGAGGAGTAAAAACCTTCCACAAACCATGGCTAAAGCTCTTCCTCGAGCCAGTCCTCTTGCAGACCTGTGGGGGTTCTTGCACTGCCTTTTCCAGCTTGCCAGCTCTCCTGGAAGTGACAAATTGGCTTCAAGGGACCCAATTTCAGCAGTAGGAGCAGACAATCCTGTGCACTGTGACCTCATCCCCAGAGCATTCCTCACACGACACGGATGCTGTCAGTGCCGCTCTGGCTGTCAGGATGTGTGCACCAACAGTGATGGGAGTGAGGGAGCCAAACGTGCGAATGTCAAAATCTTTTTTATTTACAACAGTCTCCAAAAAAATCAAGGAACACTGAAAATAGTGAGGCTAGGAGACAACTTACAAAAGTGACACGCATACACGGGGAATTGTGCTACATCACTCTGGGGACTGACACTCGAAGGTCGGCACGCGACGCGGTGGAATGGCAGCGCCCTCCCTCCCACTGCCCATGGGGTGCTCACACCTCTTTTCCCCTTCTGTTCTGAACCATCCTCCCTCCCATTTGTTCTGCTTCTGCCTCCAAAGCTTTCTCATCTGCTCGTTGCTCTGCCTCTGGCCCTGGTCACTGCCCCCCACCTCCCTTCAGCAACTGCCCAAAGGAGGAGCAGAGAAGAAAAAGCCAAAACTCTCTGTCCTCAGGATGGAGACAGGAATTGAAAGAAGTCTTAGCTCTGGGACCCTGGGTACTAATCCAGGGCAGAGTAATTAGCAGCAGCTTTTGAAATATCTGTGAACTATGGCTTACATGCTATCTGGGGTGAGGAGTGATTTTGGAAGAAGTAACCAAGATGCTGAACTTGTCCTGCCTGGCTGCAAATCAGTCTGCACAGCTTCCTTGGTGGACAGCGTGGCAGGACAGATCTGTGTCATGGGGTTAAACAAAAAGCCTTTTATAACCTTCCAAAAGGGCAGGCTGCTCTGCTAGAGAAATTCAGTGCAGGGCAAGCTAAAAGACACTGTGACATAAAGCAAGATCCCAGTTTGCTCCAGTGGAGGCAAAGCCAGGGTCTCTGCAGACCATTGCCTCCAGACTGCTGTATCAATGGTCCCAAGTGCCAGCATGTCTTTCTCCTTGGGGTATTTTCAGATCCAGCAGGAACTGAGAAACACAGTCCAGCTCAGCCACTGATTCCTTTCAGAATCTGCAGCCCTGGCAAGTGCTGAGGTCAGTGGCCAAATCTGATGCCCCAGTTGCCCAAGCACCTCAAGAGGCACCACAACGTAAAGAAACAAACAGAGCGAGATGTCATGGATCTTTTCCCCCCTCTGATGCTGAACTCTGTTCCTCCCTACTCCAAAGGTGATGTGGACAGGGCTGTTGTGAGCAGGGACTCTTTCTCTGAGTGTCCACAGCCATGGGGAGCCCTGGACTCACTCAGTAGCTCTACTGAAGGCAAAGAGCAGTCACACCAGCTCTGTGCATGAAACTCAGGACTTCAGCACCAAGGAGCAGTGTCCTTCTGCTACTGCCCTGTGCTGGAAGGGAGAGGACTTCTGGGCAGGACAAGACCCACTCTGTTTTGTAGGAGACTGCAGAGTTCCAGAATGACCTCTCCTGAAACACCAACCTAACTTTTCAGAGGTTAAGCCTCAAACCAGGGTTTACTAGAAATAAAGGAGTGGGCAGTTAACAGGCAGATTCCATTGCCATGTGCTAACTGAAAATTCCTGTATGCTTTTTAGTTGCACCAAAATAAAGACTTCTCCAGCCACTTTCAGTCCAGACTCTGAGCACTTTAGGCACAGACACCCACCATGGAGAAGGCTGAACCTTGCTCAGCAAGACAGCAGGGCCCAGGAGATGGCCTGTGGAACAGAGGAGAAAGAAGACAGGCAGAGATGTGGGATGAATTAAGGTGAACATCTGCTCCTGGAACAGCACCAGAGAGGTGAGGCCTTGCTTTTTAATGCTATGAGCATCTGCCTTGGAGCACCAATTCCCAGCAGGGCTGTCAGCTCCACCTCCACACTTGCTCAGATAAAGCCATCCCTTTTCTTACCTCTATCATTTTATGAGTATTCTGTAATCACAAGGATGACACTGCCTACGTGGACATGGATGTATACATCTGCTACTCATTTGCTGTCTCCACAGATGTCTGGGGACATCAGGATGTTTGAAGTGTTTTGCAGAAGGCTGGGCCCCACCTTTAAGTCTCTGTCACTCCACTGCATGTGGAGAAAGAGCTGTGTTTAATCAGGGTCTCAGGTTACAACAATCACTGACTCCTTGGAGTGTAAAACATCACCTAGGATCCTCAACTGGCTCCTCTGCCATCCTGCTACATCTGGTGTAAGTTCCTCCTCCTCTCCTTGCCTCAGTTTCCCTCCTGGAGGGGCACAATCTCCTCAGCATGCCTTTGTGAATGATTTCCACTCATCCTGGCCTCCCCTCTTCCTTCTGAATCGTTCTGGCCATTGCATTCCCAGTATCACTTTGGGCAATGAAAGCCAAGGTGATGCCCTGCTCCTGCTAGTGCCAGCCAGCCCTTCTGCACTGAGGGAGCCTGGGCTGCCTGCAGAGGAGGAGGGAAAATTATAGCTTGTCCTTTTCCCTACCTGCTTCAGAAAACAGGATGGATCCTGTCAGGTGCCAAGAACTCTTTGTTATTTTTGTCTGCAGATCAGACGCTGTCAGATCAGACCCAAGAGACATAAAAGGTTTCCCTCTACTTTAAAATTAGTCTTTGCCTCCCCACAGTGCCTGAGTGGATGTTCCCAGCATGGCATGTCCAGAATCACACTGGAGGTGAGGGTTTATGTAGCCTCTTTATAGTGAGCAGGAACACAGGATACCAGGGACTTACACAGCCTTTCAACTTTGCAGGATTCAAAGCACATCTGTGCCTTTCCTTAAAGGCCTTTAAAGCTTTCTTCATACTTACAGAAGGAGGAACTTCCTCTAAGGGTGCCCTCAGCACCTCATTCTTTTGTCTGCTGACCTGGAAATATCCATCAGCTTTAATCACCCAGAAGAGGTTTGAAGTGTTTGCTAAGTTCAAGCCAAGCCACCAGCCAGAGCATCCTTGGCCACAGCAGCAGGGACACCTCGCTGTCCCCTGCAGCACCTGCACAGCCACACAGGTCCCACAGGGCTGTCACTCTTGCCCTCCCCAGTCACTGCCACTTAGGAGTGCTCAGGGCACCACCAAGAGTTAAATCTGGAGCACAGGCATAGGGAACAGCATGGCTTACACATCAAGGATGGGGCTGAGCTGTGCACAGCAGCCATCAAAGCAGCACAGCTTAAGGAGAGTCAAAAATCCTTTCCAGAAGCATTTCTCCATGGGCACAGTGCTCATTATGAAGGAGCTGGTGCAGGTTAGAGGTAGGTGCCAAGAAACATTTAACACTTTGCAGAAAGGGGTGATTCAGCTGTGCCATGGGATAGCAAGGAGTAAACCAGGCTACTCACGTTCTCAGGACCCTCAGAGAGCAGGATTGCTCTGAAGTCCACCTGGAAACAATAACTCCTCTCTGCAGCTTGGGACACCTTGGGGAACCTACTTTAGAAACAAGTATTTGATCCAGTTTCACAGGGATGACACAATGTGAAGGTGTAAGGCTGGCAGGGATCAGAGCAGGGATGCGCTGAGCCAAGTAGAAGCAGCTCAGTCTCTCAGCAGTGCAGGCCCCACAAATTGGCTGGCAGTGGGGTTGGACTTCCTGGAATTTTCATCTTAAAAAGAGGGGATTGATCCAGACAGAGAACACAAAGCCACCAGGATATGGAATCTGCAAAGAAATTGAATCAGGCTGCTTCCTGGCCACATTACTCTATTTGCACCCTTGTAAATACTGGTTAATGCATCTCCCAGTGGGCCTGACCCTCCCCTTCTGCCAAGGATCAGATGTGCTGTATATTAATGCACACTTAGCTATTTCAATTTTAAAAATACGATAGAGTCAGTGATGCTTAAAATGTACTTGTTAATGGCAGCAGTTTGTGATTTCATTTTACTTTAATAAAAGCCATCTGCTCAGAGCAGACAGCAGCTGCAGCTCTGCTGCCCTCGGGTCTCCTCACAGGAGGTGTCTCTGAGCTGCCACAGAGGATGCTGTGCCTACCAGCAGCTATGGGCTCTGCCTGGCCCCAGGGGCCACCTTGTCCTCAGGCTAAGGGCTGACTGCTATGGCCAAAGAGCTCTGCAGGGACCTCTGGGCTCTCTTTTCTCTCCACCAGGAAGAGCAGAGGCAGTGACTGGTGAGGTGACCAGGGGGGACTGGGCATTGAAACTGCCTTGAGCTCACTACTGAGATGAGGGAGAGGAGGGCAGGCTGCTGAGGGCACCATCTGCTTCCTGATGGATGGATCCTGATGGATCCATGAGATCCCAGCACAAGGTGCTGTCCCTCCAGAAAGAAAGGGAATGCTGTGTGTCCCAACATCCTCCCTGAATCATGAAAGCAGGTTCACTGCAGGTGGTGCCACCCAGCAGCTCTGGTTTGGATCCCAAAGTGACACCCACGAGAGCTGCTGTGCAGCAATTTTGGGTCCAGGGCCTGGCAAAGGGATCAGGATCAGATGACCTTCCCAAATTCTCCCATTTTAGCTTTGTGGGTCCAGAAAGCCCTGTTTGTTAAAAATAAATTAAAAGACCAAGAAAAAAAAAGAAAAAAAAGCAGAAAGAAAACAGAGAAGGAAACCTCCTCCTCTACTGTTCATGGGCTGAGGTATTCCCTGGGCAGCCCTCACTGTCCGTCATCCATCCATCACTACCCAAAATAAATACAAGTTTAGAGCAAAACCCATTAGAGAAAATAAAGTGCATCTGGAGTTGAAAAACTTCATGAAAAAAGGGACTTTTTTTTTCCTCTTTTTTTTCTTACAAAAAATATTCTTTAAAAAGAAGAAAAAAAAAAAAAAAAAAAAAAAAAAAAAAAAAGAAGAAAGGGAGAGCAAGAGAACAGAGAACGCGGCTCTCGGCCTGGGGTCTACAGGACTGTCCCGTTGGGGAGGGGGATCTTAAATCCACTCTTCAGCAGGGCAAGGCAGATGCAGAGAGCCAGCAGGCCGGCCAGGAGCACCCCCAGCAGTGCCTTGAGGCAGGAAGTCCTGCTGCGGGTGAAGGTGCCAGGCCCCATGACGCTCAGCAGGGCCGTGCTCACAGTTAACGTGTACAGGATGGACACTCCCGTGTTGAGGGCCACGATCTTCCCAAACTTAGCAAAGGGGGCAATGATGCAGAAGAAGAGAGGGACGGTGGCGATGACGGTGGTGACGGCGCTGGACACGATTGCCACACCCACGTGCCGGACGGCTTCCATCGTCCTCCACTGGCGGCAGGCCGTGGGGTCCTGCTGGAAGGGACAGCCCTGTTATTCTAGCACTGGTAATTTAGGCTGCCTCAAACAATCTGTGCAGTCTCTGAGCAAAGAGCCACAGGCTCAGAACCCAGCAGAGGCTGCTGGATTTTGTGCCTCCTTTCCGCCACGTCAGCCTGATTGCTGGGCCTACACCGCACAGGGACTGCATGCAGACACCACACCTGGCATCAGAGATCCCAGGCTTTTGTGGTCTCCATCCTCCCAATGAGACAAAAGATGTTAACAAGGCCAGAGGTGAGCTGGTGGTCCAGCAAAGCTGTTGTCACCCCAGAACAGCAGTTTTCAGAGGTTACAGCTAGTGCAGAGCTGTTCCAGCACAGATATTCCACCTGGATATGAAAACAGGCTGCTTTGGCCTGCAAGAAAGGGACAACCATGTGGGCTGGAAACCCTCAGCTCACAGTCTGGAGCAGTCAGCAGGACAAGCAGCAAATACCACAGCCCAGGGATGCTCTGAGGGTGCCAGGACATATCCCCCCCTTGCTTATCACGTGTCCTTCATCACAGCTGAGTGGCACAAGAGGAATGAAATGCAAGGCTGCAGGAAAAAGAGCTCACCTGTGCCTGGTGGAGTGGCAGGTTCTCCCCTGCCAGCAGGTAGCCCTCCACCAAGTGCACACAGTAATCCACAGAGGAGCCAACGAGGATGGAGAGGGAAATGGCTTCCACAGCTCCCATTTCCCAGCCAGACCAGTACATGATGGTCACCACAAGGCAGACGACCCCTGTGTGAGGAAGGTGTTGTTAGGCAAATTAAAGGACTCTGGGACTGCTGCACAAGCCTGCTGGTACAAGTGGGGAGTTTGGGCTCAGACCCCACAGGTCTGTGTGCCACCCAGCCTGAGTCTGGCACCCACTCCCCTGCCACAGAGACAAACACTTCCCTCACCTTCCCTCAGCACAGGGACATTGTGTAAGGGACCAGACCTGCTGGGACTAGTGGAACACCCAGTTAAATATCAGGCAAACTGATTGATGCCAATCTAAACTCTTGCTAAGTGAATCCAAGCCCAGAGAAGTGTCCATGTGTGCACACAAGCACCACAGGGAAGTGAGCCTGTTGTTTTGCTTGCTGGAGTTACACAAAGGCTGAGCACACTTCTTTGAAGGCAAAGAGAACTGTTGGTTTGTGAGTCATATGTGGGAGACTAAGTGCTTCCAAAATGATAGATTTGATTTTTAAACTGAGAAGTTTAGCAACACACTTAGACCACAATATTATCAAATCACCAGCCAGGGAGAGGAAACTATTTACAATTTTGCTTCAAATACTAAAACACTGCTAAAATACTCAGCTTTTAACACCTCCCACTGCTTGGAAATAGCAGCCATGGTGCAGGTTCTTGGAAACTAGTGTAATTGTTATTCAGAGCTTGTGGGACTTAATCACATTATTATACATAACAGGTAGAGATGGCATTTGTGTAGCTAAAACCCTCTTTTAAACAAATAGAAGGGATTGTGTAGATAAAACACACTGGGAATTAGACACACAAATCTACTTTCCCAGTGAGGTTCCTGTGCATTTGTTGAGAGTTTCTTCTGTTCACTTAGCCAGTCTGTTCTCCAGCACTGGCTCCTGGAAAGCCAAAAGGGTTTACACAGAATACGAGAGACACAGAATCAGCAGTGCCACAATCCAACAACCTCAGGACAAACGAGAGCCTGACACGTTGGAATTGGTGTTTTTACCTAAGATGCTGAGCAGCACTGGCAGCAGGAGGAGGATGTGTGTGGTGAACACTGCCACGGCAGCCACACAGATGACCAGCGAGAGGATGAGACCATACAGGGCACTCTGCACTCCTGGAAGGAAACAGCCAGCTGATATGAATCCTGGAAGGTGACAGCTGCGATGGGAAAGGCACCGTGTTCCTGCTGGCAACAAGGCAGGCAGGGACTCACACTGGGGAAGACAGGAAGGGGAGGATGAAAGCGGAAAGAAGAAGGTTTCTTGAATCTCGCAGCAGCAGGGCTGAGTCCCTTCCCTTACCTGTTCCCTTGGGCTCTGCCTAATTCTGACAATTCCCACTGCTTAGGGCAGGAACAGGCTTTAGGAGTTTGCACAGCAATGGCAAGGGACTGCAGATATAACCCATGCCCATAGAGTGTGCTGTGAAGATGTGTCAGAGAGTGTGGGTTCCCCCAGGGAGAGAAATATGGCATCACTTGCCTATAATCTCCATGAAAATCTGCTTCCAGTGCTCACAGGTCTGGAAACCGTGCCGGAGAGCAGAGCCCTCTGGGAAGAGCTGGAGCTGCTGCTGCAGGAATGTCTCCCATTTCAGATAGTCAGCATATGTCTGGAAGGATGATTTCCCCTTGTAGGTTGTCTGTAACAAGATAAACACATCACTCGTGTCCTGCTCTTTGGGCAGGGGATGCATGGCAAGGAAAAGGGCAGAACAACCTAGAACAAGGAGTGGCAGCACCAGGCAGAACTGGCAGTGGCATTTGGGCAAACCTGCCACCAGCTTCTTGCCTAATTGTGGTGTAACAGCCACTTCTACCAACTTGTGAGTGCAACTGTCTGCAACAAACACTAATAAACACGAAATTATGGCTGCAAATGGAAGTGGCCAGTGCAGAAAGAGCAGAGCTAAACCCCCAGAAGTCACTGTCACCAGAATGACAACGTCACCAGGTGATGCCATGTGCTCACCGATTCAAATGCCATGGAGATCCACTGCACCTTCCCATCCTTCACCCCCACTGCCCCATGAGAGAGCTGCCCAGGCAGCAGGTTTGGCTCAGGGATATTCTTGCACTCAGGGTGCAACATCTGCAGGAAGGAGGAGATGCTGTAACCTGGAGAGAAAGAAAGAGCAAGAGATGGAGTGCAGAACAGGGAAAGGAAGCACACTGGAGCAAGGGGATGAAAAAAAAACCCAACCAACAACCCAAAATGAGAGCCCCAAGAGTCACAGGACCCATCTGTCCACAGCTGCTTCCCCTTGCCACTCTGGTTTGCCAAAGCCCTTGAGGTCTCAGCACCACAGCTCTCATGTGGCTCTGTCAGCAGCATGGGACAGGACAGTGCCACTGCTGTTTGTCCCCAGCTGTCAGGAGCAGCACAAAGAGCAAGGGCTGAGGGATGTCTGCCTGGCCTGGCAGGGATTTGCTCCAGGCATGAAACTGACTTTCAGCCTCAAGACAATATACCAAATGCCAAACTACCACAACTTGCTAGCTCAGCTCCACAACCTTGTGACCTCTGAAGTTGGGGGAGATGGTCACTGGTCAGGTGTGCAAAGCCAGAGACAGTGAGTAGCCTCACTGCAACGAGATCAGGTGTGAGTTCACTGTTATTCAGGAGCTACTAAGAAGACATTTACTGAATCAAAATGTTTTCTCTCAAGCAATACCCATGACTGGAAAGAACAAATGCAATCCTGTTCTTATCTTTCTGGATTAAATCCCAAAGAATCTACCCAGTGTCTTTGGCATTAAAGAGACCACCTTTCTTACTTTCTGTCCCAAAAAGCACAACCAATGACATGTTCTAGAAGGGTCAATCTGCCTTGGGAAGAAGAGGAGACAGCAAGAAGCAGTCACCCTTTCTGGTTTGCTGTTGAGGACCCCAGCTGAAGCAAGCACAGGTAGGGCTGCAGAGGAGTTAGTCTAACCTACCCGAGGGCAGGCACTGAGCCCCTCCGGGCTTCACCAGCTCAGAGTTGCTGGCAATGGCTTTGCAGAGGCGGCACAGGTTGCCAATCTCTTTGAAGAGGTCAAAGCTGTCATCGTAGATAACACTGCCCTTTCACAAGGAGACACAATGACAAGAGCACCGCACGTGAGACACACACACAGCAACTGGAGCTCAGCTGCCTGCATTTCTCACTGCCCCTTCAGAGGAAACAGGCAAAGGCTGGTTCTGCACACTACCCCCAAATCACAGAGCAGGAAGAACAGCAGAAAGCTCGAGTGCATCAGCCAAGCTAAGCATAATTTTTCTAGGGAAAGGCTGTCATGTGTCAAGGTATCAGATCTCAGAGATAAGCTGTTACTAGAAAAGTCACATTTAGTAACCTTTCCCTAGAGTAAGTGATTTTTATCTTTTGTTAGTACTTCATAACAAGATATATATATTGTAGAAAAGTATCAGTTCCCTCAGTCTTGAATTTGTAGTGAGATTTTGAGATGGGTTAGTTTCTAAAACCCTCAAGAAAGCCAGGTTTAGACTCAAAATTAAAAGGTTATATATTGCACTCAGAGGGATTTTCTGGAAAGTCTGAAGTGGCTTTTTTTTTTTCAGTAAGGACTTCCTGACCTCCATTATTTTGTCAAATTGCTAAAACAGAACTCTACTGGCTCATCACAATGCTACAACCTCTGCCCTTCCATCTGTCCACCCTGGGCTGTGGGTATCAACCAAAAAAGCATCCAGAGAGCCCAGACGGGGTGTACCATGTCTCCGATGACGTGGTTGTCCGGGTGTCGCGTGCGATTGACGCCTCTGATTCCGAACACCACGAACACCATGGCTCCCGTGTCCACCAGCGGCCGCACCGCCGGCTTCCCGCAGCCCGCGTTCACGCACGGGTTAAATCCAGACGTGGCTGACAGCTTGGCTTTGGGTGCTGCTGCCAAATACAGAATAATTGGTTACTTCAGGTTGGCGGAAGAAGGTGTGATTGTCCGGATCTCGGCGTGGTTGGACGGGTTTACCTTTCTCACTGGGAACGTACAGGATGCCTTTGGTGGGTCCGTCTGGGCTGGAGCTGAGCAGGCAGCCTGGAGGAGACACACACACTCGGCCGTGGTAAGGGGGCTTGTGTGACTGGGCAAAGTACAATTTCCTGTGCAGCAAAGAAAGTTTGTTAAGGGGGGGACAGAGGTAGAGAAGATGAAGCATCCAAAGTATCACGTGGAAACAGATATTCTCAGGGACAGAAGCAAAGGGAAAGGTGAACATCTGCAGACCTGGAACCCTAGCCATTGAATATTCTGTGCTGCCCATTCAGCCCAAGAGTTCAGGTGGGTAAGGGCAAAAAACAGACCAGCAACATCTTTCTGCCACCCAAAGAAGCCCCCAGGCACAGTCTGTCGAGCCTTTTGCATGTAAATGATGCTATGGGCCTGCAAAGTGATTGGGTACATGTGCAGCAAAGCAATTCTAGAGCCATGGCTGTCACTGATTGAGGGCAGGACTGGCAGTGGCCATGAGGCATCTCACATCAGCCTCTCAGCTGGGCTGTTCCTCAGGGGGGTTTGGGAAGGTTACCGTGTTCGCTGCTGCTCCTTGGAGGCCACGTAGAAACTGAAATCGAACTTCCAGCCCTTCTTGGTGTCACAGGACAAGGTGGTCATCATCCACTTCCTGGGGCTCATCTGCTTAAGCAGCCCTACTGTGGACACACAAGCTGTCAGCTTCCTGGTGAAGTTACCGAAAGGCACTCTATACACCTAAGCAATGGATTAATGAAAACAGACACTTAACTCCACGGGGTTGCAGCCTGTTGCACATCAGCATCACACTCTCCCCTCCTCCCTGAGCGCTGGCACAGCCACACAGAACGAGCACTGCAGGCACAGCCCCCAGCCTGCCCCTTCCCAGCGATGGGCAGGTGTGACAGGCCCCTTAACACCCCCATTCCCAGTGGCCTAGGCTGAATGGTGGCTGTTCTGCCCAGGGTGAGGGACATCTGCCCTAGAGACACCCACAGTTTTGTTCCCATCACTGAGAGTCATCTCACAACAGCAACAGGTGAAGTCTTGTGGCACTCCAAGGTATGGTCTTGGATGATGCCAAGCACAATGCCTTCTGTGTTAACTACCCTACTGCAGTGCCCTGAAAACGTCACCCAAAGCTACACAGGACCCCATGGAGAGACAGGAGGAGGCTCTTGTGCTCACCTGCTGCGTGCTGCCCTCTTGCTAGAGGGGTCCAACATCCTGGGCTGACTTACCTGGAATGAAGGCACCTCCCCGTCTCCCGGTGACACCATCTGCCAGGGCGCAGGGACACTGGCATTGAGTGAGAATCTGTAGATGGCTGGTCTTCCCTTGCTCCTGGACTTGGAGATATACACAGTCCCCTGGAGCTCTGAAGAAAACAGAGGGCATGAGGTTTGGTGGTACTTCTTAAATCAGCAAATCCTACAGACACAGGCAGAGCAAAGGAGGGTTGTTATTCTCTGCTGTCTGCTCTGGGACACCAGGCACAGCCTCTGCCTTCTGGCAGTGCAGCACACCTTTCAAAGGCTATCACAAATACACCCTGAGCTGCAGTAATTCCTGGTGGCTTAATGATTCATGTCATCTTGGGACCTGGCCCAATAACTGTTTTATCCTCGAAATCCCCTGCAAACTGAATTTACTCTCCTGTGACCTGCCAACAAGGTTGTGAACGGGACTGGGATGTGAACTGTACTCAGATCAGAGGGATATGACACTGGACAATGCTGCCAGCTGGGTTATGGGACCATGTCCTAGGGAGCAGTAGGTGTTCAGGGAAAGGGGGATTCTAAAGATGCTCAATACATCCACCACCAACCTAGGGCTCAGTGGGGCAGGCTCTGAAGAGAATTATTCCCCATCAGCTATTCAGAGAGCATGTGCTTTAGTTTGTACAGTGGATCCTTGGGCCCTGGCTGCTAATGTGGCCAGAGCCACCATGGCCCACTCACCTTGCTGCCCTGTATCACTCATGCTGCCTTTGCTTCCCCAAGGTGACCCTGAGCCCCTCTTCTTTTTTTCCAAGGAAGTTCGGATGTTGTTCTGCAAACTGTGGGGCTTTTCCTGAAACAAACCTGTCCCACAAGGTTAGTCAGGGAGGCCAGAGTGAATGGCATGAGAAAAGATGCACCAGGCCCGTGTGTACCACAGACTCTGCAGCTGAATACCAAACCCTGAGCAGGCAACACAGACCCTCAGCTGGGCACTGACATGAGACCAGCACTTATGAGTAAAAATAGTCAGTTTTCATATCAATCCCTGTGAAGGGATTGCTCCAGAAGAAATACTCATGCAGTTCATGGCTAAAGCAGGGAATACTTTTCTGAATACCCCACTCCAATGTGTGCCTTCTTTCCATGAGCTCCATCCCATGTCCAATGAGATATTTGAACATTGTAGGCGTCTGCCTCACATTCCAGCTCCTCCAGTCCAGGACTTGGGCCAGGCTGGGCTGCACCCACCATGGTTTGGGGATCAGTGTTCTCACCTGAGCAGGTAATGCAGGAGATACCTTCAGCACTCAGGTTGTATTTCAGGTCCAGGAGCACCTGGATGTTTGTGTCTGGCCGGAACAAGACTGGAGCACGGCTAGCTGGGTGGAGGCGGCTGGCAAAGAATATGGACAGGAGCAAAACAAGGAGAAAGAGCCCTGCAAGGAGAAACCTGGGTAAGTGTGGGACCCTACGTGCACCTCACACATGCTCAGAGAGCAGGGATGGTATTTTCAGCTGGAAAAAGAACAGCCACTAAAGCACAGTGGCAGCTGGGATTTCTTTTCTCCATGCCTGGAAAAAGCTCCATCAGGATTTGCCACTTTAGATCTGAGTGAGAAGAAAGGGATGGAAAAGTCCTCAGGGAATGTTCTGGGAGCACTCTTCCACTGTGTTAGAAGCTGTCTCCCATGTCCCTTTTCCCACCTCTTGTCACTAATAATCAAGGCTTGGAGACTGATTGAAATGTCAAACCCCCTAAAATCCATGCAGATGCAAATCCCCTCCTTCCTTACCCACAATCACCCATCTCCTCTTCACTGCAGACCACAGCACCCAGTGTTCCAGCAGCTCCTGCAGATGAGTTATCAAGTGACCCCTGTTGCTCTTCTCTGCAGAGAGCTGCAGATTTTCTGGCATCACAGACACCAAGGGGACATCCCCCATTTCCAGGGAGACTAGAATAGAGAGAAATCAAAAACAGTCTCAGTTTCCTGTCTCTCAGAGCTCTCTGCCCTCCTTTATCAAACCTTCTGCAAGGTGCTGTACTCACTCAAGCTAAAGAGATGGAGTAAGACCCTGGCAGAGGCAGTGATTTCAGCATGTTTGAAGCAGCATCTTTGTCAAGTCACTGCCATGCAACAGCTACAGTGTAAATCTATAGCTCAGTCCAAATCTGTGCTTCAGGCTGTTCCTTGCTCTACCAAACCCCACAAACATTGTCCATAAGGTCACAGGGACACTGCATGCTTCTTGGGCCAAGCAGAATTTGTCCCTGTCCTACTAAATACGCCTTCCTGCTAATTACACACAGCTGACCTCTTCCTGACTGCAGCCTGGCTCCTCCCTGATTCTCTAATCTCCAGATCAGGGATGCCAAGGGAGCTGCCCCCTTCTCTGTGTGTGACAAGTGGGCACTTGCTGTGTTGGGATGATGCCTGGCACACTGCAAACCACAAACCACACTTGGTCAGCCACTGGAACAAGCTGCTTTGCTTCTTCACAGTTCCCTGATGCCCAGGGGCCCTGGAGGAAAACATTCTGCTGTTTGCAGGGAAGAGGGGGATTATTTCCATACATCACCACTGCATGTGGCTCTGGCATACTAAAGAGAACTCACAGAGGCAGAGCTGCTCTGCCTGTCAAAGGCATCTCACTCTGCAGCAAGGGCTCTGAACTGGTTTGGATATCTCCAGCTCCAGTTTGCTTCCAGGCCTGAAAGGTACTCACTGCTGTTGGGGGTTTTAAAAGGATGAGATTCCAGCAAGTTTTAAAAGCCAAGTACAAGAGAGCATGACCTTTTTCTTGCCATCAGGGCTGGAAGGATTATCTCCTGCCAACAACAGACAGGGAATTTCTGGGCTTTTTTTTCTAGATTGCTTATGTGATATCAGGCAAGTCACTGCCCTCTTCATACCATGATGAAGGAGCTGCTCTAGGGGGCTGATGCTGGAGAACAACAGTGCTCTTTTTCCTGCTTCCCAAATGCAGAGCTCCAAATGGCAGGGAAGAAGGGAAAACAGGACAGTGAGCTGCCCTGGTGTTATGGATTAGATGTTTCATGGCTACATCCATGTCACAATCAGTGATTCCAGGCAGAAAGCAGACCACCATGGACACAGAGAATTAGCAAAGTAGTTAAGAAAGCATGCACTGACACTCACTGAAGACCTCAAAGCAAACTTACAAAGAATACTGAGTTGTGACTCCTACAACCTCCCATGATGGCTCCAGTTTACACTTTGGGGTGCTGAGGCAAGGACCAGTGCCAGGGGTAGGGAGAACTGCAGGATGCAGAGGGCAGTGTGATCCCCTAAAGGCAGCACACAGCACACACATACCAGGCTCCTCCTCCACGCTGAGCAGTGGAATGTCATCATCAAGGTAGGGAAGGGTCTCTCTGCCTGCTCTGGAGGTGGTGTCTGAGGCAATGAAGAGATCTTCAGCCAGGTGCAAGGCACTCTTTTTGGTGCACTTCTGACTGCAGCTGCATTGAAGCAGGAAAGGAGACAAAGGGAAGAGTTTTAAGCCACACACCCTGTGAAGAGTTACCAGTGGGCTCCTTCAGTGGCAAGGAGCACAGCAACAGCCTGCTCCAATTATTTGGAAAGACAACAGGCACTGCCAGGAGCAAATTCCATTGCTGAGTGCTGAGAGGGCAAGGGCTGGGCTGGGTACACAGAGCAGGGCTGAGCCATGGACACTGGGTGCTGAGTGATGGGACTTTCATCTCTCTGCTAGTGAATTAAATCAGGCCAGGTCATCTGCAGTGCTAAAGAGCAGGGGAAGAGGAAATGTGCTGACTTTCAAACACAAATCTCCACGTCCTGCTTGTGCTCACAGGCAGGAGCAATGGTGATCTGCCTGCCTTGCAGGGCTTGTGTCTCCACTGCTTGAAGGTTTGGCTGTGCATTAAGGCTCTGAGGAAACAAATGGTCCAGTACTCCATGGGATTCAACCAAGAGGACTGAGAGAGTGAGACTGGGACTTGACCCTTCCATTTTGTTCCATCCTTCTGTCAGAGCCAAAGCCAAGCTGCTTGAGGGGAATGAGGACCAACTGACATGGTAGGGAAGGAATTTGCAAACCTCCTCGACTGCAAATTCCAGTTTCCCACCCACAGGCTCCAGGGCTCACCTGGCTTGGCAGGAGCTCTCTAATGGGGACACATAAAGGGTCCATATTCCAAGAGCAGCTGGCATGGTGAAGAGCACAGCTACCCAGCAGCAGGACACAATCAGTGACATGAAGAGTCCGAAGTCGTGCACAGCTGGGATCTGCGTGAGGAGAGAGAACACAGGGCTGGGATCAGCTGGGGCAGGATTGCTGGAGAGGCAGCAGGCAAGGAAGAGATGTCTGGAGGAACCTCAGAATAGCACATGCTGACCTCAGTCATCAAAACCAGCAAACCTGGTGGGTAAAGCACTGAGACAGAGCCTGTTTGATCAGAAGTATTTCCTTGGATAATCCACTGCCTTACAGCAGGTAAGCCACAGCCCTGCAAGAACCAGGTCTGGCAGGTTCCTGATCCATCAGGCCTTTTGGCAGAAATGAAAACCCCAAATGCCAAAGGTGCAGGGTACCTGAGAGAAGATGTTGGCAGCATATGCTGCAGCTGTGGTCAGGGAGGTGAAGAAGGTGGCTTTTCCTGCTGTCTGGATAGTGTGGATCATGCGCAGGCGCAGGTCCTTGAGGTGGGTGGCTTGGCGGTAGGTGTTGATGAAAACAAAGACATCATCAACCCCTGGAAAAAGACAGCAGAAATATTGATACTCTGCTCACAGAGGTGATACCTGCTGAAAATCCGATTTCCCCTTTGGCATTTGACCTGCAAATATTAAACTTACAGGTAATGGAAAATGAAAATTCAATCTGCATTTGCCACCATCACCTTCTTCTCTCCTGCAGACAGAAGGCAGGGCAAGGCAGCACAGGTAAAGCACAGGCTCAGAGTAAAGATGAGCTTACCAATCCCCACGATGACAAAGGCAGCCACACCATTGAGTATACCCAGATACTGGATCCCAAACACGACGTGGTACAGGAACAGAGCCACCAGGCAGCTTAGCCCAATGCTGGCAATGCCAAAGAATGACAGAAACACTACAGCAGAAAAGAAACATGGAGAAAATAATATCTCTGACCAAGCCCAGGAGAACAACACCTCCCACCTGCCCCATGAGTGTGTTGCTGACAGAGAATAGTTCAAGGCTGCAGGATACTGCTTGCAGACTCCTTCCCATGAGGCTCGTGCAAAAAATTACATCATGTTTATGCCAGTGTTAGTAAGATGTGCATTCACATCTTCTTCCTGATTTCCTGTGAGTCTTTCCCTCACCCTGCCCATAAATCTCAACTCTGGAGAATGAGACTGGCTTGCCCTTCTGCATGCTGCTGTGCCACAGGGCATCAGAGCCTCTCCCTGGGCTTGCACACACACAGACAGACACTGCACATCTGGATTTGTGTTAGAACAGGGTAGCTGTGACTCCAGCCTACCTGAGCAGGAGGTGAGGATGTAGACCAAGACAGCTATGCAGCTACTGCTGATGAAGGCCAGCAACATGTCATTGTTGAAAGTCCTCCTCACTTCATAGTCAAACAAATCTGTCCCTCCATACAGCACCTGCACTTTGCTAGGGTAGGAAGACATGAAAGAAGAGAAATAGTTGAGCACAAAAGGAGCAGAGCCCAGTGGTTTAAAGCACAGTATCTCCTCCAGAGCCAAAGGAGGTCACTGCTCTAATGACCTGGCAGTTCTCTGAGAAAACAGAGCAGTGAGAGCAGGTTGAACAAAGTTGCTGCTGGAGGTGAAATTCACACAGGGAAGCAGAAAAATAAAGAGCAGGCCTAATATTTTTTAAATTCCTCCACTGCATGGTGGGTCTTGGGCACTAATAAACAGCTCCTGGAGCTTTCAAAGCCAATTCCATCTGGAATCCTAATCATTGCTTATTATATTAGCACAGTGGATGCAGGCAGAGTGAGAGCTTAATCAGAAACCATATGATTTACCAGCTTCTGCCTCTGGAAGCCGGCTCAGAGCAGAAGTAATCCAACATAATTTAACCAGGACTACAATAATGCTGCACCATAGGAGGCTATCAGGGCTTTGGAACTGAGCCTTGGCCTCAATTCCCTTTTGGCTTGTCAGAAGCACAACCTGCTTTCCCAGCCCATTGCTGAGAATGCTCTGTGGCTGCCTGCATTCCAACCTGCTTCTGAAGATCAGCATCCCTTCGTTCTGGGAAGTACTGAGACTCAGGGCAGTAGAAAGTCTGAAGTCTAAGAAGGTACAGAGACTTCTGTCAGCTGCCTGAGTACTGGGATGCTCTTTTAGCTCTTTTTAGCTCTGTTTTATCATCTCTCTCTCACACAAGCACTGAGCAAAGCTCTATCCAACCAAGTCATACAGACCTGGTGGTGAGAAAAGACTGCACTTCCTGAAACTTATCCTGCCCTGAGACTCCCCTCCCCACCTCTCTGTACAAAAAGCAAAAGCAGAATTTGATCCACACGTTGAGCAGCCTTGAGTAAAGACCATTTCATCCCCTGCATCAAACCAGTGGTGGCCAAATTCAGAGCAGGAAGGCAGTTCAGTTTGAGTGGTGGAACTGGATTTGTAAGATGGAAGCAAAAAGATCCAATGCCACACAAGGACTCAGTGGAAAGGCAGGCAGTAGATTCAAACTTTGTCCCCTTTTCATTGTCTCTGTTGGTGTCTCTGGCACGTTGCTGCAGAGGGAAGTGGCAGCAAAGGGGAGCAGATGAGTAGTTTTCTGCCATATGTTCCCCACCATCATTCACAGCTCCAGCTTCAGTGGAGATGCTTTTTCTCCTTCATCTGGAACATTATGCCATGGCCACTGTTGAAGTCTGTCCAGCAGTCCAAGCTAGCATGTTAAGCCTTCCATGCCCGGTGCCTTCCCAGTGAAGCCAAATGGAACGCGGCTATCAGAATGGAACAGGCCCTCCTGCTCTGCTGCAAACCTTAAGGCAGAGCTTTTTCCCTGAAAGGTCTATCCCATCCTCTGCCCTTCCCTCACCTGCACACACCCTCACCTCGTGGACTGCTTGGCCAGCATGGCCACATAGGTGATGACAAAGTTCTGGAACTTGTGGCGCTGCTCCTCCCAGCGATCCTCCACCGAGTAATAGTTGGGCAGCGGCGCCCCGAAGAGGATCTCGCTCCGCAGCAGGGAGCTCTTCATGTTCTCAGCAGACAGCCCCTCATCCACGTACCAGTAGAACTCGGGGTGGGTCATGGCCAGCTCCAGGGACCCTGCAGGAGAAAGCAGAGCCACTTTTGTTAGGTCCTGCTTAATTGTCTTGGCAAGGCACAGGGTCTAGTGTGCCACAGGGAGAGTGGGAGTCATCCTGTCCTTCATCAGAGTGATGCTGGCTGCTGCTGCTGCCTTCCAGAGGGCAAGGAAAACCTGGATTGCAAAGTCTCACATCCTACTCCTGTTCTGTGACTGCTTGTGCTGCTGCCCACACACACTTCCCCATCAGGGACACATCTTCCACCTGACTGAGCTGACCCACAGCACCCCCAGCCAACAACACCCCCATCAATACTCCCACTGCTGCTCTTTCTTCTCTTACATGGGGACAAGATTTTCTCCATTACACCTGGAAGCACAAGAACTAAACAATGCCTATAGAAGAGAAGTCCTGGCTCTGCTGTGACCTGCTACCTCTGCCATCTGTGAGGGATGCAGAGATGGAGGCACTCAGCTTGTTCTTACTAAGAGACACTGCCTATCTATTCCCAAAATCCAGCTCCCTCCAGTTCATACCAGAAAGATCAGAAACTATGCTCCTTCCTGTTTTGGTAACAAATTGTTACTGGAGCAGATGGACTTCATTCTTTGCTTGCTCCCTGCATGGCTCCTGGACAGGCACCCTCTGCAGCCTGGCTTGGGAGACAGATGGAGGGAACATCCCACAGCCACATCACACCCACAGACTCTTCATGAGTCACCTCTTTGTCACCACTCAGAGCCTCTGTTCCAGGAGAGGAGCACAGAACAGGGCCCAGAGCTGGGAGGAGGCGGCAGGGCCTCTCTCCTCCTCTCCTTATAGAAACCTTTCCAGTTGGTGACTCACAAGCTGCCGGAGCAGCCCACAGACCTCTTTAATCTGCTCTGTACCGCAGGGAAGCTCATCCCTATTGTCTTTCCAAGACCTAGCATTGCTCCAGTTAACCACAACCATCTACAGGGGACAAGGGTCAGCAGGAGACATCTGTGCCATGCAGGACACTCCCTCACTTGTCCCTCTCGCTTGCCTGTGGGGGTCTGTGACCTGTGACTGGCATTGCAGGGGTGAAAAGGAGCCCTGGTGCAGAAAAGACAATTCCTGAAGGCACAGCCCAGCACCATCTTCCTCTCCATACAAGGCAGTCACTCCTCTTAGCTGCACACCACAGACTGCCTGAACCTGAGAGAGGCATTCCTTGAGCATTCCAGCCCTTGCCCACGGCCCTCAGCTCACCTTGGATGTCAGCCAGGTCTTGCCCCATGCCATCATAGTAAATCTTCCCTCCTCTCTCAGTGGGGAAGAAGTAGGTCATGAGGGAGCTGGGAGGGGAACAATAGGAGTAAGAACCCAGGGGCAGGTCCTTCAAGACCTCGTGGGGCTTCCAGCAGAACTCCCTGAAGCGAGGGTGGTCCATGATCTTACGCTCAACCTCGTGGATGGTGACCAGGCGCTCGGTGGTGAAGATGTTGTTCTCCGAGTCCCCCCGAGCCAGAAAAATGAGCTCGATGCGCCAGTGAGCGTGTGTCTGTGTGTTGGCACTGATGTAAGTGCTGGAGTAGTCCCAGCGTGGGGCTCCCCTCCCGACCCTGGAAGTCTGGTTTCCTGTGCCCAGCCGAGGCTGGGGCTGCACGGAGCTCGTCCTGACCCCCGGCGGGCTGCGCTTGACCCGCGCGCTCACCCCAAGATGGGAAGCGTTGAGGTGAAGCTGCTGGAGCTGCTGGAAGATGAGCCTCTGCAGGGTTTCCGAGGTAAAGTCAGCCAGGTCCCGGCGGTTCCTCCCCCACGACCCAAACTGGGATTTGAGGGCCAAGGCGAGGGCGTCGAAGCGCTGCGAGGACTCGTGGTTGCGGATCTCGAAAGCGTTGTAGGAGATGTCAATATCCAGGGCAGGGTAGTGGAGGAACATGACAACAGCAAGCACGGCAGGGATGGCACAGCCCAGGAAAAGTATGAAACCAGCACAGTATGGGTTGGTAAACACCCAACCCACAATATTCCAGAAGCCAGACACAGGCAGCGTGACACACAGGGGCCTGACTCTGCACGAGCCTTTCCCACACAACAGAGCACCCTCTCGCCTCTTCCGGGAGATGAAGGCTTCCTCTTCATCTTCCTCCTCTAGCCAGGCGTCCTGTAACAATGGGTCATCCTCTGTGTCCATGTCAGGCACCTGCAGACAGACAGAGCAGGGCAGTCAGCAGGGCCCAGCAGCGGTGGCACAGGCACAGGCTCGCAGCAGCACAGCCAGGCACGCTCCAGCTCCCTCAGGAGGAAAGAATCGCTCCTTCCAAACCCCACAGATCTGCTACAGCCACTGAAACAACAGCCTTGCCATGAGGTATCCCACACTCTGCCTGGCAGAGGAGCCAGAGAGGGAGAAGTGACAGTCCCAGAGCCCAGTGCTGTGCAGGGGAAGGCTCTGCATGGCTCCAGCAGCACCAGGCATGGGGACTGCAGGGATTCACAGATTCACAACTCCAGCAGCAGCAGGGACATTTAATTAGCTAACCTGGAACATTTAATCAGCTAACCTGGAACATTTAATCAGCTAACCTGGAACATTTAATCAGCTAACCTGGTTCTCACACCCAGGAACGGTTCACGCTACCAGAATGATACAAAATGCTAAGGGAGCATTATCTTCTTCTCCTTAGAACTGGCAATGATTTCCCCCAGCTATTTACAGCAGTATTCATCTTTCCCATGAAGTGTGCTTGTGTGTGCACACAGAGCCAGGAGCACACACCCACACCTGCACACATCAACCCCTCCCAGAACTCACTGTGACCCTGCTCTGGTTCCTGATGGGATATCCACTGACAGCATGGAAGGGAAAGGGCTGAACAACCTGCCTTCCCTCCACTCCTGCAGGATATTGTTAGTGGAGTGTGTTTTTCCCATTCCTACAGAACAACCGGGAAGAAAATGCAGTTACTGCTTTCATGGAATGAAGGAGGAAACCCTCCCTGATCAGCCCAGACTTGGCCAGGAAAGAAAGGGATCATCCCTGGGAGGTGCTCTCCTTAGCAAGGGTTTCCCAGGTTCCCAGACTTACCCTGGGTATCTCACAGGGATCCACTGGTGGTGGTCCCTCAGAGCAAAACCCTGACCCTGGAAGTGTCCCTCCCTTTTCTGGCTCCAGGCAGCAAAGCCCTTGGCACTGAATGAATGAACAAACAGGCTCAGTTTGTTACCTGACCCTGGGAGTTGAAAGCAATTTACACACAGGCCAGAAAAAATTTACGAGCTTTGCTGCTAACCAGTGTTTCTATTTTAACTGGCCTCATGTCAGCAGAAAGATAAATTGCCCATACCTCTTAACTCCACATCCTCAGAAGGCTTAGGAGCTGCATGAACTTGAACTGAGAGGAGAAAGCAATGTGACAAAAATGTTCTCTGGCAGAGGAGCATTGGTGCAAAGCAGCAAGGATCACAACAACCTCTATGGCTCTGGCCAGTCTGAGCAATGCCAGTGGCTTTGTTCACAGAGAGCTCACAGGACCCACAGCAGCTCCCATGGGATTCAGCCTGGTCTGGACAGCATCTGTGCACATCTGGGCAGAGGTTCCCCTCATCACAGAGCCTGTGGAGAACAGGGAACCTCCAAGCTCCTGCTCCCTGCTCCAGCCCACACCAAGGAAAGCAAGAATGTTCATCAGTGCCTTTAATCTGCACCTGATCTTGTCCCAAAATATCCCATCCTGCCTGTCAGAGTGAGAGCAGGGGCTCTCCCAGCCCCTCACCCTGGCTAGGCTCGTACTGAGGTGGTTCTCCCACCTCAAGCTAGACTGTGGAGACTGTGCAGGAGGGCACCTGTGAGCCTCCTGCAGCTCAGGACAAAAACCACTGCTGGCAGATGGCCACAGCCCCTCTCCTGCCAGACCTTCAACCCTCAGCAGGCTGAGAAATAGGGAAGAGGGGTCAGCTCATAAAACTCTTCTGTGTTGTTGCTCCCTTCACATGAAGGGCTGAGACAGCAAGAGGAAAACACAGGGTGGGTGGTGTCTCTTCAATCCTCTGGAAAGGTTAGGAGTAATCTAGTAATCTAATCAACCAAGGAGTGCCTGAAAGGTTCCCTGAATACACATGGATCACTGTGTGAGCCCTTTGCACTGGGACAAAGCCAAGAGTGTCAAAATGCTGCTGCCCAGGACAGGCATTGGGCTGCAGGAGCTGCTCAGCTTCATGGGAACACACACCCAAGCACTCTTGTGCTGCTGCTTGCAAAGCCTGATTTGCGTCATGACAGGGAGGAAGCTTTCCCAAGTCTCTGAATCTGCAAATTAATCCTCTCCTGGAGGATTCTTACCACAGAATTCTTACCTTCTCTCTCACACTCTACACACCCAAACACAGCCATAATCCCATCCAAGATGACAAGATACGTGTCCAAATGCTGCTGGCATGGCAGTCCCCACACACAGCACCTTGTCACCCCACACTGCCCACCTGTGCCAGGCATCCCCAGCACACCTGGTGTGTGATCCCCATCACTCAGCTGACAGGGACTGGCACCCTTCAGCCTCTAAGGGACAGCTCCAGGTCACATTGGTGTGGACTGATGCTGCAGGAACCCAGGTGTAAACCTCAGCCATCCCCCTTGGGCAGGTTGGTGTGTACCTGCAGGTACCTCCCCTGCACCCCCAAATTCTCTCCCAATGGCCAGGGCTCTCCCTCAACAGAATGGAGTTACTGTGAGATCTGAACAAGCACATTCTCTGTAATTCTCTCTTTAGAAAGAGAGGTTAAGAGCCATAATACTTTCCTTTTACTGAAGAGAAGGAGGGAAAAGATTCTTATCCTGAGACAGAAGAGCCTGTATGTGACAAGAAAGGGAAATGAGAGAGAGCAACACAATAGTAAGGCAGCAGAAAAGGGATCACACCATCTTCTTTCTTAACCAAGTGCTAAATCCTCAGCTTAAGGATGGGATCAGATCTCAGGCATCTCCCTCTGACTTTTCCCTCAATTGTCATGGAGAAGCAAACCCCAATTTGTAACACATGGGAACCTGTAATGTCTGGTGACCAACATGTGTTACACTCCAGCTGCAGACTGGCACAAATTCTGGCACTGGTGTGAACTCCAGCACAGAAATTTCTGGAGAAGCCCCTATATACACTCACATGAGAAGGATCAAGACTTGATCTGGAACAGAGGCAAGAGCAGGGTGGGTGGCCCCTGGGCTGTCCCCAGGCTCCCTCTGCTCACAGGGTACACACATGCCTGCATCCACTGAACCATCCATCATCCATCTGAGCCCCCTGCAGGAGAGCTGGTCCAGCTCCAAAGCCAGACATGGCACACTCAGCATTGCCCTTGGGGCTCATCTGGCTTTGCCACCTTCCTCAGATCCTGCCTGGCTCAGGATGAAAGCCTGTCCAACCTAAAACATGGCAAATGGAAATGGCAGGGGAGATAAACCCTCAAATCATCCAGAAGGGAACTGAAATACATTTTTTCTGCTTGAATTTTACTTAGGGACTGGCCTGTTTTCCCTCCATCACTTTTCATACTATCCAGAGACTCCCAGCACTGAATCAGGGCCCAATTACTTTTTCAGCTCCAGGATATACACAGAGAACTTAATCCTGCAGCCTTCATTAAAGCTCTGCCTCACTCCTGTGCAAGCTTAGCCTGTGCCTGGTTGAAAGAGGCAGAGGATTAGAGCACTCCTTGGAGTCCTGGGTCTGTTTCTTTAGAGAGCAGGCACTGATTCAGCTGGTTTGGGTAGGCATTAAGATTTCTTGGGTTTCCCTCTTCTATTTCCAAAGCAAACAGGCTTCCTGCAGGCAGGATCCAGCTCAAACCCCAACAGCCCCACAGGGATTGTCACTCTCTTGCACCTCAACCAGGAAAAACACCCATGCAGCTCCCACAAGACAGTTCTTTTTCAGTGACATCCAGGATAGAAGAAAGTCACTGGCAAGTTGGAGAGAAGCAGCGACAGATGAGGAAGCTAATTACACCCGACCTGACTAATTAATGCTGACTTTCACATTAAAAAATCCTCACTAGTGTTCCATTTCAATTACCCAGTTGTTCCTTCCTACAGGAAGAAGGAAGCCTTGTGCAACAGCAAGCTAGAAAGAAAAAATGAAAGAAAGCTCAAGACTAGAAGGGAGGGAAAGACAATTTCTGTAATATAGGAGATTCTCATTGACAAAATAATCAAACTTCACACTGGTTTCTCCCACAGGCAGAGCTTTTAGAGCAGAGCCAGCAGTTTTGTGTTCCTATTAATATTCCTGAAATCTCCTGGAGTTTCTACCAAAGGCAGCTTTAGCCCCCTTTGATAGCTACACGAAGTTCCTTATAAGAGGGAGAGAAATAGCTTTTGTGCTTCCAAATCATCCTAAGAACACCCAGGTCCTGCTGAAAGCCACGGAGCTGCACACAGCTCTGGCCATGTAGAACAACTGGAGGGCATCATTAATGTACCACACTAAAGCAGAGCTCCACAGGGACACCAGGACACAGAACCACAGCCTTGCTCTACACTTGAATCACTGAGATTAATCCAGAAGTCTAATTTAAAAACACAGCCAAGAAGGGTTTTCTCAGGTCCTTGTTCTCCCTTATCAACACAGCTATCACCGAGTGCATGGAGTCCCTCTCCCAGTGTAAATTTCCTTTCATGAATTGTTAAACAAAACAATAGGGAGAACTGGACATGGTTTTCCTCTAATTGGAGTATTGCACTCCTGGCAAAGTAAAGCAGGCCATGGACACAGGACCCTGAATCTCCTATAATACTTCTCAAAACATTGACTTAATTCAGCCACAGATCAGAACCTGTGCCTGGGGATACAGCACAGACAGAACCTGTTTCAGTGGGATATGAGCCCTGAGATCCACATTCTGCTCAAAAGCACTGGTTTGATCTGCTGGCTGAGCTGGCTCCACCATTATTAGTTAAACAGGTTTACCTTCCAGTTGCAAGCACAACACAACAACAAGGCTTTAATCTATTTTCTTTCTGTGTGCTTTGCATTTCCCTTTCCACTTGCTTTAAATTCTTTAGTAAGATGCATAAAAACACTGCTTGACCCCAGGCACTTTGTAGATCAGAATGATATCAGAATGCTCCAGCAGCACAGAGCTGTTGGGATTACAGTGTAATTATATAAATATGTGTTTGCTGGGGGGAAAAAAAAGTTCAACGAAAGTATTTTAAACACATATATATATTAAAACTCTACAGTCTATAATTCCACTTGCCCACAGAAAGCAAGACAATAGGCAGGGCTGAATATAGGAAAGAGGATTATCAGATCTCAAGCTTTGTGAAATCAAGCACAGGCACATTCAGCCTCACCTCTTACTGAGGTGCTCCCTTCCACTGCTGACTGTTGCACCCCTCTTCCACCTTACAGGAACTTTCACACCCTGGCTAAGATAAAAGCAGCTGGAAACAGAAGGATTCACGATCTTAAGCAATTACATTCAATGATCTTTTCCAGCCTAAATGATTCCACAATCTCTGACCAGCTTTCAGACTGGACAAAGGCTGCTTAGAGCACTCTCAGCCTTCTGTGTCTCTGCATGCACCTGCCTGTTGTTCCAGGCTTTGACAAACACTGATTAGATCTACTCATAATTGCATGCCAAAAACAGTGAGAAAAGATTAGCTGCAAAGTCGAGCACTCACCAGTCAGGAAATGCCAAATTCAGGGCCAACACAGCATCCTTAATTTGCCCCTCTTTCCTAAATGCTCTGCAGTGTAGTTTTGCTCCCAAGCTCAGTGTCCAAGGCAAGGACTCTGCCTTCCACCAGTGCATGCGATGGATGAGGCTCCCCAAATCCAGTTATTCACCCTGTTCTCTCCTCATCATTCAGCGTGTGGTCTCATGCCTCATTTCCTGCACGCCGCTCATGCCCTGCCTCACAGGCAGAATTATTAATTTCCTCGTGAGCTTTTTAACACTGCCTGTCACGACAGAGTCTGAGGGCTGAACAAACGGGGCTGAGCTGAATCTTCTCCCAGCATCTCAGGGAAGGAGGGGGTGGTGGAGTCTGCATCTGACAGATGCTGGAGCTCAGGAGATGAAGGAAGACGTAGACATTTATTTTGGGTGCCTGGTTTGACACACAAGATACCGAAAGAGGGCAAAAATGGGGGCTGTGTGCAACAAACCACAAACTCTGCCGTGTTCTGCAAGTATAATTTGAGCTGTATCATCAAACACAACCATCACTGTGCAACATAACCTTGATGCTGGTGAGGGATATCCAACCTCCACACTGAGAGAGCCAAATTCACACCATTTACATTACCAAAAAGAACCCAATAAATTGCCCCAAAATACATGTTTTAAAGTACTGGAACTGGCACTTCTCAAAGGCAAAGGTCACCAGGATTTACTGACATCAAACCATGCACATTTAGTGTCCTGACATCCTGGGATTGCTGCAGAAGTGATTGAGCACTTCGCTAACATGCTTGTCACTGCCAAAGAAAGTTAATTTCCTGATAAAATAATTTGCTTCTGGTTATTGTAACTAATGATTGTAGGTGTCAGAAGCAGTGTCTTGGTTATAATCTCACAAAAACGTGCCTGGCAGCCCTGTGCCATGTTTACAACTCACAATGTTCCTTGTTTGTGCTGGTGATAAGCTCTGCTGTCACTCAGCCATGTGGCACTTTCTGCAAACAGGTACCAAGCAGCTACAGGCTCTGATATGCTTCAGACATGACTTACCTCACCACTACAAAAATGACTTCGATTTTGTCTGAACCCCAGCCAGTTGTTGCTGCTAAGTAAAGGGATTGCTTCTGGCTCAGCTGGGTGCCTCGACACATTTCAAAATCCGGATCCCACCTGCCAGGACCCAAAGGAAGAAGATTCCCAAAGGTATGTGGATTCCCACACTCCACTGCCTACCCCAAAGCACCTGTGCTCAGAGCAAAGCTTTTACAGATCATTAAATGGAGATGGCTGCCACAAACCAGGGCCCTGCTATCCCACCAGGAATCACCCCAGGAAGGAATGTCAGATCACAGGAGGGAATCATCAATTCCCAAGCCAGTGGAATAAACCCCAAAGCTTGTGTGCTGCTGTTTTACAGATACACCCCAGCTTTACACATCCCTGTCACCCTGAAAAGGAAAGCCAGATCCTGCTGGCAGAGCCTACCAGTCATTTATTATTCTAACCCGTGCTCAGCCTCCCCAGTTTACATTCACCACAGCGTTATAGATACATTTTATATTGTTGGCTTTTCACAAATATTAAAATGAATGTTATGTGTATGAGAAATTTTGTCTTTATTTCTGTTATTGATGAAATTTAGAAATAGTGGTATAATACATGTATGTTAGGCTATGGGGGAGGAATTTATTGCATTTCTGGTATCAGGGAATGTAAATCTCGATGGTGCCAAGAGGATTGATCTATTGGGAAGGGGGCAAGAGAAAACTAAACAGAAGAACACCAAAGATCCACAGAAGAATGTATGAATATGTATGAGAATTTATGGATATGCAGTAGGATTCTGTTTTTAAGGGACAATCCTTTGTCAGCAAGGTGTGCTCTCTTGGCTGAATGCAGAGACACCCATCCATATCTGTATAATTTATTTTTTTCTCCTAATTGTTTTTTTATTAAACTTTTAAATTCTATAAAAATTACGTGAACCTCGTTTTTCACAACTGATCCCACTCTGTGCTCAGCTGCAGGATTCCCATGCAGACCCCTCTCCCCAAACCCATCCCTTGCAGTGAGAGGAAGGACACAGACAAGGGCTGGCTGTGCAGCCTCATCCATGTGCAGTTCTCCAGCAACACCCTGCTGGTGTGCACACCACTTCTGGGACTGACCAAAACACCCTCTCCTAAAAGGCTCCTCTCCACATTATTCACCTAAGCTGCTAGTTCATTACTGAGAAGGAAAAATTCTTCCTCACCCTCCACCTGAGCTGTTTCTCTCAGCAGCTCAAGCAGCAGAGGAGGCTTTGCTGGTTGTGGTTCTGTGGGCAGCAATTTGAGAGGTAAGGCAGGAATTCCAACCTGTGCTGCCAGACCTTCCTGCCAACCACAGCACAGGCAGCTGTTTCAGCTACAGTTCTTGCCACTCCAACTTAGAAAGTACAATCAGGTTAAAAGAAAATGTTTCAAGTGTTCCACCTGAAGAGTGCACTTAGCCAGTTCTGCTCCTTGTGCTCTGACCTTGCAGAAAGAGGAGGAACAGGCACAAAGTCCCATCTGCACGTGTGGAGCCATGCAGGTCACACTGCCTCACTCCAGGTTCTACCCATTTAGATGTAATGGATCTAAAGGTCTTATTTTTCACTGATACAATTTACTGACAGCAGAAAGGGCCAGATTTGGAAGAGGAAGGCTGTAAGGCTGCAATCTGGGGTGAGGACACAGCTCCCATGGTATTTCAGTCACATTCACTTATTTCAGCAGGGCTTTCCACACACCAGCACGAGAGGAGTGGGGGATCTGTAGCACTCTCCCAAAATGAGGGAATACTGAAATACTCATGCACCATCCCAGCTCCATGCACTGAGCTGAGCTCATCTGTGGCACAGACACAGCCTCCTGTTTCTCAGAATGTGAGGGGGAATTCTGGGGGGAATTCATCCTGACAGCCACTACAACTGAGTGAGAATAGCTGCAGCAAAACAAACTTTGTAATGACCCATGGAAAACTTGCTTCTGGATCAGGAGAGACTCACACAGCAGCTTTTAGCTGGCTGGCTTTCAGCAGCCTGAAAAGTAGGATCTGAGCAGGTATGTCTTTCTTACCTCCCACACATCTCTCTCTCTCTCCCCCAAACAGATGCAGCTACCTGCTCTCCTCCCATGAAAAGCCAGTGCTTGTGGAATTAGATTAATTAGCACTGCTATTTCTCATCTTCCAAGAATCAGTGAGCAATCTGGAAGCAGATGTGTGATATCCAGAGGCTGTAGAGCCTCTAGTGCCACACAGCTCACTGCTCCAGAGCAGGACCTGGGCAAGCACAAGGTTTCTCAGAACAGAAGGAAAGCTTCTTGAGGGGAAGATGTGGAGACAAGACAAGCTGCCTCAGTGCCTGAGCAGCAGGTCAGCAGATCCCCTGCCAGTACAATGAGTTAAAGCTTATTGCCAGCTGCACCAGCCATGCAGAAACTCACATTAAATATTACTACAGCTCAATGAGCACAGTCCTGCAGACCATTAGCAGAGGAGGGGGCAGGGTCTCAGAATAAGCAAACAGGCTTTAATGACACATTTATGTCAGAGAAAGTCCAGGATGCTTCCTAATACAAACAAGAGACACCATGAGCTGGTTCCTATGTGTCACTGTGCAAGGGAAATGTTGCTTGCAGCAGCTCCCACGTCTCTAGGATACAGATTTAGGCCAGCAGAACTGAGCTGAGACAGCAGGAATGTCCCTCCTCTCTGCCCTCTTCTCCCAGCACAGACCTGGAGCTCTGTGATCTGAAGCAGCTCAGAAAGAGGCAAACATCACCCTTGTCCTTATTCCCCTTCTGCCACCAAAGATGCAGATTCACAGGAGCCACGGGAGCTGCACGGGACCCGCTCCTGAGTGACAACCAGCCAACCCAAAGGGACAACAACTGCCACCTGGAAGGCTCAAAGAATATTCAGCCAATTGTTCCCAGCTTCTTACTGCATCCCACACTTCCAGACAGATGTTCTCAGGCTGAGATGCTATTTGTGCCATCTCAAACGATCAAGTCCTGCGATTAAAAAACCAAAAAATGAAGAAAAAAAATAAAATTTGTGGCTCTACTGTGTAGTTTTTCCAGCTTTCCTGAGGCAAAGCACATCATCTGCTCTGAACTGCTCTCAGATTTTGGAGTTTGAGACTTCCATCCTTTCACAACATGCCTTGTTCAAAATGGGATTCCCCTTCACAAGGAAACACAGGCTATTTTTGCAAAGACATTTGTAAATTGATTTTCAAGGGACTCACTCTGCAGCCCTGTGTGGATGTGGAACTGTGCCTGGCCCTCTGGAAACCAGGCTGTTGGCTGAGTACAAGAGGAAAATCACTGCAGGCACTTCCCAAATCAGGCAAGGAAATGGAAGTGCAAAATCAGGATCCCAAATACAACCAAATAAACGAGCAGGTAGGCAGGCTGGTGTACATGCAGGAATGAATTTAGCTGCATATAAACCAAGATTTGGATCCAGAAGAAATTATCTCCCCCACAACACATCAGAAACACAAGGGACTGCAAGAGGTCTGTAAAGGAAACGTCATCAAAATCTTATTTTTCTGCTACTTAGAGCAGAGCTCTCTGTTATTGGCATCTAAACAAGGCCAGATGCTTTCCTGTGCCACTTACACACAAACCCATGCTATGAACTCTGCAGTTCCTGGGAGGAAACTTGCACCAAGGAATTGGTTCCAGACAGCAGATTTACAGGAATGAAGCTTTGCTTCTTTGGTGTAAGCACTGCCACAGGGGATGAAACATTTACCTGCTGATATATCTTGTTCTCAGTTGTTGTAGACTGGTGTTTTATAGCTCCCTACGATGCTGCAGCTTTTCTGCCTGAGCACAAGAACATTGGCACCACAGACCAGCATGAAATGGACCAAAAACCACCACAGAGCCAGCTCAGCTGCACATCTCTGAGCCCTGAGTGAAGGGACAGAGCTGAGATGCAAGGTATAGGATGGGGAGAAAGAGAAGGGATGGCTTTGGATGTAAAATTCAGTTTGGATGTGGAAAGAAATGGCTTGCAGCATGTACATCAGATTCTGAGACACTCCACTGAGTGAAACACATCCAGAGAGTGATGCTCTGGATGTCCAGTCAGGTCTGGATGGCAGGTCCAAGGCACTGGCAGCTGCTCTGGGGGTCCTGAAGAAGCCCAGCCTGGAATGCCCAGAGGTTGGAATTGCAAATGCTGGCAGGAAGCACCAGAAGGAGCAGCTTTCACATGGTCCAAGAACTAGTCTGAGCTTTCAGGCAAAATAAATTTAGCTTTAAAAACAAGTTGATGGCCATATTGTCCAGACTCCCAGTTTAACTGGAGCCCATTGTGTTACTGAGCCATTTTCATGCTCTTGTGGGCCCTCCCCCATTTCAACTCAGCTATAAAAACTGGCTTGGAGATTAAACCTGGTGCCTGAGTTTTAGCTGGAGAGCAAGTGGGAAGGTGTGCAAGGCAGGAGGTGGAGGGAAAGTGGTGGCAGTGGAAATATAAAGAAAAATGGCCAGGTCTGATTTATAAGCAGGAGTCAGGGTTGCTTCAGGCATCTCTCAAACATGTTAAAAATGCCCCACTGGGCTCTAGTTCAAACCTGAGTCTGCAGCCCCATCTACTTCAGTAATTCATTTCCCTTCTTAAAAGGAGGAACAAAGAGAGAACTTGTTTGATTCAAGAAATCAAGTGTGCTGCATGTGCAGCAGTACCCCAAGCACCAGAAGGCCTAGGTGTTATTTTGTGGCTTTTTTTTTTTTCCAAATTGTCTCCAATTATTTTAATACAGCTCAAAGCAGTTCATTTTCAGCTCCTGGGTATAACACAGAGCCAAGAAACAAGTCAACATCCCCCTAGGAGCAAAGAGCACTTTGTGCATCATGTATCAGAGACTGCATAAACCCTTTGTAAACACCTATCAAATCCAATTCTTTATTGCTCTAGGGAAATGGATAGGATTATATGCAAGTTCACAAATGAATTAAGCAAGGTTCCACAGTCAAGCTTCATCTCTGATGGAGTTCATCTGTTACTTTTGCTGATTTTCACAGAAGCTAAATACAGACCAAGCAAATTATAGCTAACATCATTCAGCTCTAGTTGCCAAATGAGGAGCAGCAGTGTCACATTTGAGATTGACACAGAGACCCTCTGACATGCTAGCCCAAAATCAGCCCAGAGAGCTCAGAGTGAAACTAAAGATCTCCCAGAACACTCCCCTTTGTTCAAGTCAAAGAGATTTCTGCTATGCAGAAGTAAGATGGGGAAGTCTGTGGCAGCACAGAATGCCCTGAAGCCCAAATTAGCTTATCCCAGGTAACATTCCCAGCAACAAATCCAAAGTGACTTCACTGAGTGACTGCAAGGGAGAAGCAGCTGCAGAACCAGGCCCCAAAAGCAACAGCATTCACACCTTCAAGTCCAGGCAGAAAAATGAGGCT